ACTCGTGAGGAATATATATAGGCATGTATAGACATATATTTATTTATTTATTTATTTATTTATTTATTGATATGAATATAAATATATATATATTATATATAATATATATATATATATATATATATATATATATATATAAATATATATATTAATATTTATATTTATTATATATATTTATATATATTTATATATATTCATATATATTTATATATATTTATATATATTTATATATAAATATATATAAATATATATATATATATATATATATATATATATATAATATATATATATATATATATATATATATATATATATATATATATATATATATTTATATTCATATCAATAAATAAATAAATAAATAAATAAATAAATATATGTCTATACATACCTATATATATTCCTCACGAGTAGAACTTGTGAACAAACTCCAACCTTATTCCACTACAAGACCAGCCAAAAGTGTATGCCCTTGGGCCTGCTAGCAAAATGGTGAGGCAGCATGGAGTACCACAGCACTCCAAAAGGAATACTTTTCCTACAATGGGTGGATATAAGACTATCCATGCGAGTGAGGCAGTAAAGCTTCCTCCCAACTGGCACAGGTCTGAGAGAAGCAAGCCTAAAATAGTGATGACTACAGTACAGGCATGAAGGAAGTTGATCTCAGCGATCAGCTAGACCAGTCTTACCTGGCCTCATAAAAATTGATCAAGTGGTACCAGAAGATACTCTTCTACTTGTTCTACTTGCTATACATGACAGTCATCAACTCCTTGGCCATCCACTGGATCCTTCATGGTACGATGGCACAAGTAGAATAAAAAAATAGCTTGTTTTCGGCTTGTTACAGCAGGAACAGTTTTGAGGAATAGCAAGGAACTCTCCATTCCCTACTCCTGCTGCTCTGGAAGACACTTCCTTCCATAGGTGGAAACAGAAGGGCAAGAGGAAGGAAACCAGAATAATGTGCAAGTTCTGCATGATCTCCCTGTGCCCTTCTACTTGCTTCAAGGAGTATGATGATACTCAAGGTGCTCCCTGAGCATGTAAATTGATCAATTTTTTATATAATTATATATAATATTTTATCTTTAGTAAAGAAAGAAAAAATAATAATTATCATTGTTCTCCTATGAAAATACACCACTTCCTTAATGCAATGAACTGACACACATATAATAATATTGAGTATATACTACAATGGAAGTCAGTAATTTTCTTTACAGAACTTATGATTTTGCTAAAATAGGCCTTCAAACATAAATACATGGTAAAAAATAGTGTAATAATTTACCACAAACCACCTGCCTAGGCAGTTGTACACAACAAAAGCCCCAGTGGGAAGTGTGGATGGCTGTCAGTAATATACAGGTGAGCCGGACAGAAAATTTTCAGTGTCAACACTGGGTTAAGAAAAAAATACTGCCCTTAGGGAAATGTCCTTGAGATTTAACAGGATTGAGGGTGGGGGGTTGAAGTGTGGAGGGTCAATAATTAGTTATACACAGTTTTGGATGTATATGTATGAAGCATTATCCACACAAACATAATTCCCAGGAGGAATAAGTAAACAAAAGCAAGACCTATCTTCTATCGTAGCAGCCATGACCCCCAATCTGCACAACTCTTCTCTGCATACTTTCCAGGTTGAGTTATGCTAGGTCCAACATCCTCGTCCTCACTCTCTCACCAACAGGTGCTTATCACAACTCATAGTGCTGAGAGCTGACTGGTTGACATGGACACCTCATGGCTCTCTGATTGGACCATGTTTTCTTACACAGCCCCTAAGGACTTACACTTCAGGATCCAGATCCGAGATCGGCAACTCACGATCCTCTAGAGCACCTCAGCAAGAGCAGCAACACAAGGACTGCATGGTCCTTTTCTGAATAGGGAGCCTCTCCAGCTCCCCTGTAGATCTTCACTTCACCTTCAGCACCCAGTCTTAACAGTGGGAACTCACACCCACTACAGTCACTCCCGAAAGAGACAATGACCAGTTCAAGTGGTAGATGCAGCCTACCTACTACACTGGTCATCCTGAAGTGACTAATTTCAGTATTTTGTTTGCTCTCTTAGCTCACTCACTAGTGAGGGAGTCCCTGTAGTAGCAATGATCTGCAACCTACACAAGTGGTACATGCTGCCCATCTACTACACTATAATGCATCACACTAGCAATTCTAAATTTGTACACTTCTGGTTCATCATCAAAATCAACTCAACTGGTTCTTGGACCATGGGTAACTTACCTTTAACTTAAATTGCAAGCAGGATGACAAAACAAAACACAGAAACCACTAAACACAATTATTTGCAAGACGACAATGACGACGATGAGGATGATGATATTGATGATGGTGGGTGATGGGTATTGGTTATTGGTTGGTGGTTGGTGGCTGGTGACAATGAGAATAACGATAACTGTTGTCATTTATTATATACCATTATTACCATCAATGTAATCAAAATGATATCAACAACAACCATAATAATGCCAATAATGATGATGCTGACAATGTTGAGGATTACTCCCGCTGTTGTCATTATAATAATAATGATGATAAAAATAATAATAATAATAATAATAATAATAATAATAATAATAATAATAACAATAATAATAATAATAATATCATAATCGCAATGATAGCAATAATAACAACAATCACAATAACAAGAAAAATGATGAGGATACTTACCATCTTGGCAAGAGATGGTTGTGGGACTTTAGATTCTCCACTATGAGGTGGAGACCCAGAGACAGTTGTCACAGTTGTATTTGTACTGGAACTGGAGACCATTGGTGTAGTGGGGATTTCAACCGGAATGGCTTGACCATTAGGCAACCTGAGAAAAACAAACTTTGGCATTCATTCAAAAACGGTTTGCATTGCCAGTACTAACAGCTTTAGTACTGTGGTTTACTTGTGATGCGCAGCAACTTCTCAGACAGTGGCCCTGAGTCAGACCTGATACATACGTCAAAGCAAGACACATCCATGGGCTCAGACAAGTTACTGTTAGCAATTTGTATGAAAAAATGAGAACAGAACACTCATGGAACCCCAAAATTTCGGATGGCAAAGGTGGGGGAAGATTTACAGACAGTTAGAGTTTTCAGGGGACCTAGGGGTTTAGGACTGAGGCCTAAACAAGAGCTCCTCTTGATAGCTACTTTTATAAATAGCTTATCTTTTGACTACATATTTTTGGAATATTTGCCAATCTGTTGCCCTCTGGAACACAAAGTGAATACTATTTGATTTTTGTTTCTATTTTAAGGTACTTCAACAAGAGACCAGCGACCAACACCCTTCAAGCCATATAAAGGATTGAGTCAAACCATCATCAAGGTGAAAGCCTACCTTGGTCTGCACCTGTTGATGGGCATTCATGATAAGTCAGAGATAAAACACAACTGCTCGAAGGACATCAAGTACTTCCAGCCAGTGTTCTCCCAGACAATGGCAAGGGATAGGTTTGAATTTCACAATCACCCAGTATTTGCAAGTATTTGCATGCAGCAGCCAATGAGGTTCATCATGAGCTGGGTGACCTACTTTGGAAGCTGGTGATAGATTACCTCCTTCACTCTGTGGAGATTTTTGTTTCCACTTTCAGGTACTATACCCAGAAATAAGTGACCCACACCCTTCATGCCATATAAAGGAGTGGGTCAAGGTGTAAATCTGTTGATGGGCATTCGTGATAAGGCAGAGAATAAATATTACAGCTCTAAAGACATCAAGTACTTCCAGCCTGTGTTCTCCCAGACCATGGGCAAAGGATAGGTTTGATCTATCCCCCAGTATTTGCTTGCAGCAGACAGTAAGCTGGGTGACCTGCTTTGGAATCTGTGGCTGGTGATAAATCAACTCTTTCACTCTGTGGATATTTCAGGCGCACTTTGCCATCATCCAGTACAATTATGCCAAACGTGCCAGGTTTGGATTCACGGTGTACAAAGTGGCTGTGAGCAACAGTCCTACTTTGGGCTACATCAGCACCTTCTGGATATATGAGTGGGTATGTTGTACCTGCAATGGCACAGTAAGAGGCCCATTAAGATGCTGTCCATACCAGCAAGTTAGTCTCAATTACAAACAAAAGTGGACTCCTTCGGCTGAAGCCGAAGGTAGTCCATAACTACAACTCTAGCATGAAGAGGGTGGACATGAGTGACCAGTTGGCTCCGTCATACCCAACCACTGGCAAGTCTATTATGTGCTTCAGGACAATTTTATTCTATCTTCCAGACATGGTGGTCATTAACCCATTTACAAAGGCTGTTCCACATATGAGACACACACCCCAAAAAAAAGACATTGCCGGGCGTCCTGAAGGTGTGACGCTGGATCGGAGCTTGCACACCAATTCTGTTGCGGGAAGATTCCGGGTCAGTCCCGCGAATCGATTCTGAAGCCGCCCAGAAACTATTATTTTCGGCTTCAAAATATACCGGCGCTAGTGGGTTAA